AAAAAAAAAAAAAAAAAAAAAATTACAATAAATTTATAAAAAAGAATATGAATAAAAAGTATCGATTATTTTGCTAATATTAAAAAATTTTCAAAATATAGGTAAACACAATATCGAACTAAAGACTACTAAATTCTGGTTCATAGTATGTTAGTATTTCAACTTAAAAGATAGGAGCAAAAAGATATTAAAAGAAGAAATAGAAGCATAAGAAAGAAAGAGCGTGAAAATGGAGAGGGATAAAAAATGTAATGTAAATCTTTGTTGAAATGTACTTTAATATTCTTACCTTGCATTATGGCTACTGGCTGCAGCGCTGCCGATATAATTAAATCATTTCTTTAATTGTGAAATTTGAAGAAGTTGATAATGAGAAAAAAAAGAAATATATGTCAGGACCAAGGCCATGTTATATTGATTGGGATAAGGCACACACAAATCTTATAGATTTAAAAACTTATAAGTCGTAACTTTTTTTTTTATATCATTTAATTGCATTTTGTTTGTATCGAGGTTGTAATAAAGAAAACAAGCTACTTCTACATAGAATCTGCATGCCTTGTCCCTAAATTATAAATAAAATTCATCAAATTTACAATACTTAATTTTCAATAATATTATTATCGAGATTCCTCTCCTCAATTATATTTATACTTATGCAACTAATATAAGCTATATCATACTTAACATAATTATTCACAATTTTTTTCTAAAGGCAGTATTTTAAAATAAAAATTAGAAAAATCAGAAAATTAAATATATGAAAATACTGCTGCAGCCACAACATGAAAAATTAATTTGAGCTACAAAGAATGTAACATGTGCAAATGCAATTTCATATCCTCAATAATCTTTGAACTTTATATGTATTATCAGTATACATTTAATAGTTTTTAAGAATGAGCTGTTTTATTCAAATTTTAAATTGTTTAAATTCTATTCTGTGCTTAGAGATACCCTTGAAAATTTTATAAAAAATAGAGTATGCAGTTGAGTTTTTAATCGTTAATTAAAACAAAAGAGATAAAAATCTGAGTCGTGTTAATTACAAATAAGTAACAAAAGTAAATAAAAATAAATCTATTACAAAGATAAATGTATGAAAGAGATTAGCTTAGCATACTTATGTATGACTTTAGCATAGTGTCATACGAGTGTACATTGAGTAGATGATAGTAACACTACAAAAGTTATTGGTTGTCAAATTCTAGAGTGATCTTTGACCTTGAAGGAAAGACGAGCTAAAATGGCATAGTCGAAGATTGCTAAGTGAGCTGATTTGAGCAAGACATGCACTGACTGTGAAAGTATATGCGCTGATAACTGGAGTGAAAAATAATGGCAAGCAAACAAATAATTTGACATATCAATCACGTGTAGTACGTCTTTTGTTATATCTTTCGAGTACATTTTAAATTCTCTTGATCTTGTTATTTAAATTCTTACCGACAAATCTTTATAATTATGTATGTTCTAATAAATATTAAGCATGCTCTAAGCATAATTTGTACTCAAATACTAAAACTACTTTAATATATGTTAAAATTATATACAAATTTTAATAGCATAAAATTCAAACTTTTAAAATTGTACATTAATTTAATAAATTTTTAATAGCATAACCTTAAAAATAGTTTTTTTTTTTAAATATATAGAATTATACGTTTCAAATTTTATTTATAAGAAAAATGCATATATATTCTAAAAAAATTTTCTAGAATAAGAGAGATATCTTATTATACATTAAAATGAGAGATCTATAAATGTATTATGCAGAATATGTTAAAAAATTTTTTAGAATTTGTAGAATTTTATAATGCAATACACGTGAATTCATATATTGCTAATATTTTTTAACTAAAGTAATCTTGTAAAACATACAAGTTTGCCTAAATACTATAACAACATTATGTAATATCTTTGCTATTTAGTGGCTATATCAAATTTAACATAAAAGGAAAAAAATATAGCAGCAAGCACAAATGTAACAAAAATGACACATAGGAACTAGATATATTAACTTAAAGAAACTGAAAGTTTCTATTGTTTACTTCTGTAAATAATAATTAAATCTAAGATAACACATAAAAAATAGTGAAATGTTTAAGGATTACTTACTTTGCAAAACCGATGAAATCTTCATGATTCGTATTCATGTATGCAAGCTCGCAATCAACCAATAAAATTAGCTGCTCTTTACACATCTGTTCTCGCTGCCTAACGTATGTAGTTATGATACGTTCTGTCTCTTCTCTTAGTCTTGGATAACGTGACATCTGCAATTTCCATAAAAATCGATATGTATAAGAATTGTATACTTTATGTTATTTCTTTTATTATCTGACTATTCTCTTTTGACTTACCCTATCTGTACAAATGCGTACAACATTACTAAGTTCTTGCACGACTAGGTCCACACATTTGAGACTTGGTTCTTTAAGTCTATTTATTTGTTTTTTGACTATTGCCTCAAAAGCCATGTCTGGAGTGAATAATCCTACCCTGATACCTGTCGAGTTAAAATTACGTTAGTAACTTTGCGATCTTTATTGTAAAAATTCTATTCCGTAATTCACATTTTTGTTGAATAACGCGTTCAAGTTACAAGAAAACTTACCATGTATATTTCTGATGGCAAAAGCAATTTCTCTTCTTAGTTCTTTCTCATCGAATTCCATTTTAACAATCTCGAATGGAAAACGCTCGTGGAAAAGTCTGTTGATTTTCGCGCCACCACTGAGTTCGTTAGTATTGATTTGTGCAGAGCCTGAGCCTTCTATAGTTCTTTCGAAATCTGACTGAAGCTGTTGTATCATCCTTAAAAATGATTTTCTATTAATTTGTGTAACATAATCTGTTATAAAATAGTATTAGTTATATGGGTTGAGAGTCTCGATGTAATCTACCATTCACAAAACACATTTGTGACGTCTGTTATTACATTACAACCTGCAAATTTATAAAAATGTAACGTACATATCCATAAAGATACAAAATAGTTCCTCATGTATTAAAACAAAAAAATTTGTTAGTTTTCTTTAGTAATTAATATAATTCGTAATTTTGTTAATGTTCTTGTAGCAGAATAGTTTTATGCCATCAAATTATCTTCGAATTCTGAAAAAAGCATTTGCAAAGCATTTGCAATTTTTATTTAGCTAAAACTTCATGCAAATGGCACACTATTCTTGTTAAAGGAAACTAAAAGAGGAAATAAGGATACCTACATATACATTTGAATTGATCTGAAAAACAAAAAGCGAATGATCTAAGACTTCAAGACCCTCCACCCACAAAGTAAAAATATAAGGAATAAGAAAATAAACAGCTATGATCTCCTTTGCATGAATGTTATTTTAGTGAAAATATGAAATGTAGAAAACATTTAAATCAGAAAAATTTTGATATTGCATATATATATATATATACACGTGAGATATATTCTGCTATAAGATATGCATTTATGATCTTCACAATACACATTTTATGAATGGAAGATGAGAGCATTGATATATTGTAAAGAGGTAAAGGCATATTGTAAAATTCTAAATTTACTTACTGTAACATAGCCTTTGTTTTGATTGCAGGATCATCAGGTCTAAAATGTTTGTACTGCTCGACATCCTTCTCTAAAGCTAGCTGCTGCTTCTGTAATCTGTCTCTTAGAGCTGGCAAGGTATCCCTGATATGGTTTGTTAACTGTTGATTGAGAACTCTTTGTAAATATGGTGTGCCCAATCTGTCCGCTAAGTGACGATAAGACGGATGGCTGGAAAGTAAAATAAAAGATAATTAGCTTATAATTTTGGTAAGTATATTACGAAAAATATACCTAAGAAAGAATTTTCGTTCAGCGGCTAGAGCATTTTTAATATCCTTCCGTCCTTCTATATCCTTTTGACTCCTATTGACAACGCCGATGTAACCTCTTCTTAATGGCAATAATTTATTTTCCAAGATATCTCTTGCGTCGGTGCCATCGTCCATGAGATCCAATTTAGTAATAACACCAATTGTACGTACACCTTATGGTATTATGCATTAATGTTAAGTTCAAAAGAATATTAACATCAGTATCGTCATTGATTAGATACCTTGTGGATCCACCTCCTTAGCAAGTTTAAGAGCATCACTATTGGCCAGATCAGTGTTGGCTGGTGTGACTGCCAATATAAGACAATTCTCGCGTTTGATAAACTGAAAGATCATGGCCTTAATTTGAGCTTCTATGTCTGCTGGTTGATCTCCGATCGGTACTTTTGTAAGTCCGGGTAAATCAATTAATGTCAAATTCAGAACTGTATAAAAATAAAACCGTATTATTACATGACAATTATTATTCATTTTAAAGTAAACAATTTTGTAACTTGCAAGTTGTACTTACCATTGGGCGAATATACTCTCAGATTAATTGGTATATTAGAGATGCCCTTGTTACCTCCAGTCACTCTGTCTGTTTCTGCTTCGATTTCTTTTCGCACCTCCTCAAAATCTATGAACTTCTTACCCTTGCAATGCAAAAATTCTGCAAATTCTATAACATAAAAAAAAGAAAACATTTTAATATTTAGAAGCAATTATTTTTATTGCGTAAAAAAGTTAAACAAAAATATATCGAGAATAATATATATTCCATATATTTTATATTTATTTATTTCGTCTGGAGTCTAATTTAAAGTTTATCATTAAAGGTTTATCATTTTTTAAGCAGAGGAAGTATGACACAGGAAGTGTGATAATTTAATGACAAAGTTCAAGCGAGACAAATAAATTCTTATTAATTTTATTTTGTATAAAAAATGCAAAATGTCAGTTATTTTTTGTTATGGATTTATGTAAAATATAATAAATAAATGTCACATAGTAAAAAAATTTTCAACAAAAGTCAAGCACAGAAAATGTGATATAAACGAAACAAACACATTAGATACTACCTCGTTTAAAAGAAAAATACTTGCTACATATATGCATACCCAAGTACAGGTCAATAAGTCAACAAGATGATTGTGAATTCATGAAAACTGTACGACTCCTTTTTATGCATATATGTTCTTAAAAGTATAATAAAAATTCAAGGAATATTGCTACACATATAAGATAATTTAATAATATGTTAATTATAAACACCAAAATATAAAAGACAAATAACATGTATAATCAGTCCTATTTATCATGACTCACCAGTTGTGCTGTTAATCAATTGTAAGATGAGAGGTCTCCTTGTCACGATGCCCGAACCTCTGGGTAAGAAGTCCCTGAAAAAAAGCACTTATTGTTATAATTAATTCTAATTAATCAATTAATTAATCTTAATCAGATAAGTAAGAATGTTGTTTTTTTTTTAATATAAAATATACAGCTACTCATGTAAGAAAAAGCTGTGATAAATTATTTTCAAAATAATTGTAACTAAATATTTAAAAATTTAAAGTGTTATATAAGTCTAATGCTATCGAATGGTGAAATTATTTATTTGCTGATAATATTTTTATTCTCTTTGATAAAAGTATGCATGTTAATATTCTATTTATCTATCTACAAGATTCTATTTATAATATTGTATACTGCTCTTTCAATAAAGTTTTCGTTTTATCTGCTTTACGATAATTTGAATTAATAAATTCATATCAGCTTTTTAGAAAGTTAAAACATATGATTTGGTATATAATGCGACCATAATGTGACAAATATATTTTGTGCAAGATATAAATTATCAATGTCATCAATTATCAATGAATCAGCTGTGTCATAAGAGAGCTTCTTAAGAAACATTATAAAATCGAATTATTTAAAAATTTTTTATATCAAATAGATTTATTCGACAAGCATTTTCTTTAAATACTAGATATCAAACAGACATAAAATAAAATATAACAAAATTGAATAATTTAATTAAAACAATATTTCTTAAATTATGCAATTCTTATTTTGTTTTGACATTTTTATTAGTTAACATATGTTATGTTAAAAATTAACATTCCGTATAATTGTAGATTCCTTGTTTAATCGCGATGTCAAAACGGAACATGAATGACGAGAGGCGTTCGCTACGAGAACGTAGAACCCGTTCGGTTTTGCGCATGAACGGGTGCTTCTGAGTGCTCCGATGACGATGCCGCGGAGAAGACATTTGACAGGTTGCTCCGTGGATGTTCCGATATCGCGAATTTTTCGTGTTACTTCACGCTTCGCGTAGAAAATATCATACACGAGGCGGTAACTGTCAAACGAATCTCGGCGGCGGCGGCGACGACGACGACGACGACGACGACGACGTCACGGCAAAGTTGAAAAGCCACGCCTAGGACGTTACAACGTATCGACACGAAAACGTCAGCAGAAATCGAAATAAAATTTTATTTATTTAGCCTATACATCACACATTCTGCTTTCATAACGAAACATTGTATATTCGAAGTTTAGAAAAAAAAGAAAAAACTACAAGTATTAAAAAGTATAAAAAATTGAAACAAAAATTTGAAAGGGAGTCGATAATAACGATCAACGAAAGAATCCACCTTTATCTACCAGGTAACGTTCAACAGAGACAGACACGAGATAAGTCTTCGGTATTGCCTGTGTGACGGAGATTCCTGTTACTATTTACGGTTTTTATCTCTGTTGCGACACCATATGCAATACTATTTTCCGAGAAGTCTGTTACGGCTACGAAGAAGATGCCGAGAAGCTGGGTACATCGTAACATTAGTCTACAATACTTACTTGCCGACAAAATTCTCAAGCACGGAGCTTTTGCCCGCGCTCTGGCCGCCCACCACCGCGATTTGCGGCAGATCGAGCTGCATGTGTACGCCGAGTTGCGTGAAGGCATCTTGGAGCTTGTTCACGATAGGAATCAACTGTTCCATACCCGTGTTGCCCGCCATCCTGCCACCGAATTCGCGTGAGCCGCGTTACACTGCTCGCTTGTATACGCACGATAGGTCTCCTCCACAAAACCACACGCACTCTCGCCTTTTCCGTTCACAGCTGTGTGTTGAATCCGCTGTAAATCGCGGGTCACTTCGAGCTGCTGCTCTCTGTCACCGCCCGAAAAGGGTGGCTGACGGAGACGAGTAACTATCGCCACAAAGTCTAAGCGTGCACTGAGCAAGATGGCCGATTTCCCCGAGGGCTAACCGCTCGCGTGCGCTGCCCGCCTGTCTGGCTGACGGCCCTGGCTTTTCTGCGGCTCACTTCACCGCATCTTCCTCGTGACGATGGCGACGACACGGATCGTGCGGTCTCGCATCGGTCTCGCTCTCGTCACAAGCGTCACGTACACAGCTGCCTGTGAACGATGAAGCACTACGCGTTGTCAGCGCGATACGTTAGAAAACGATTCAAAGCTCGCCCCGCAGGAACGAGCAGAGCAGCACCGTACCACGTACAGGCGCCGCGCATAAATGAGAGAATCGGAAGAACGGTTACGCGACAACGACGGATTCTCGACGCCTGCCGAGAGAGCTTATAGAACGATTCAATCGATAATCGAAGCGTGCGCACAAGTCGCACTATTGCCGCCGTACGTCGCCGTCGTGACCCACTTTCGCGACCGCGAGATAAAATCCATATCGTCCGCGAACGTGTCCGTCGACGCTCTTGGACGCTTTGACCTTTTTACTGCGCGCGTCTCACGTTCGTTCGTTTAGTACGTATGTATGTTCGCGCACGCGGCATGCGACGAAAATTCAACGATGTTCACTTCTGATATCACGAACGATCACGAATGACAGTCGATACTGTTCGATCTAAGCTGCAATATCGGTTGATTTCTTATTACTTGCGAATGGGCGCGAGTTGTACTTCTCTTGTATTATAACTGCGTTGCTGTACAACTTCTTTCCATATTCCTCTTTCTATAATTTTTTTTCTATGATAAATATATACTCATTCCGTGTTTAAACAGAAAGTCTTGATATAATACAGCTAGGAAAAATAGAACAAGCGGGGCGAGCGAAGAATTGCGAACGCTGAGAGATTTTCAAAACACGCGGTAAAATCCCGCCATTACTACGTACGAAAGTGAAAACCAGATCGTTTGCTTTTGCCGCTTTTCTTTTTTCTTATAAAACGGAAAGAGAGAAAGTGGGAATTGTCCTCGAAACAGTAGCATTGATTTCATAGTTGCTACAAGTTTGTTCATTTCACTGTACTCTCTTGTACTTTCTAAACATCCGTTCTTTCTACTTACATTTTATATAATGATTTTTCATCTTATTTCCTTGAAACATATATTTTCTTATATATACATGTATGTATGTATAATTTCAATAGCGTAGCGAGACAAAGCGTACTAAAATAAAATTAAAACGAACAGATTTTTTTATTGTATTAGAACTGGAACTCCTGAGAAAAAGTAATTATTCCCTAAAAAATGTAATTAAAAAATTTGATGACATTGGACAATCAATACTTGAAAAGTTAATATTTTGATTGTGTTCAATATTGAACGCAGTAGAAGCGGCACTGCGATTATATATATATATGTCAACACATATATAATGTATACGTGTGTGATACGAAGGTACGGACTTATCTGACACCGTAGTCCTTAAATTCGGTCGATCGATTGGCGAACTTAAAAGTGGTTCCGTTCAATAGAACTCGACATTGGCTATCGTTATTGATCATTGACCTGTAAAGGCATCTGGTGTGACGTGCACGCTGTGTACATATTTATATATATCGGTTTTATTTCTGATTTAAGCAATTAAGTATCTTAACACACACACACACACACACACACACGCGCGCGCACCCACACACACGCCCACACACACACACACGTGCGCGCAGTACAATTGTATATAGTTCACCCAGTTTCCATTTATTAGAAAAGACTCATCTCGAATGACATTTATTTATATCATTAAGTGCAATTTTTAAAATAATTTAATTATGGTAATTGCCAAAATTCTATTACATGTACTTATATTTAATGCCACGTATTTAATAATATATAATTTATAAACGATGTATACATTTTCCCTTTTCTGTTTTTTTTTTTACAACGCAAACGTGTGACCTTAAAGCGCACGCAGTAAAAGTTTATTATTTACTTGTTTATAAATAACACTTGTGCGTCTTCAATTATCGAATGTTTTATATATAGATGTCTGTCGATTTAATTAATATTTTCTTTTTCTGTTATTCTTTTATTCCTCAATTATATTATCTGAACTTTCTTTATTTAGCAAACATTAGCAATATAAATATCAAGTGGAAATAAAATTTCGAGTTTTGTGTTGGATCGAAGTGAATGAAATTAATTGCATCAAGAGACACGGTAGTGTCTCGCGCCAAGTTATCTTTACGAGACGTTCAAAATGGATCCAGAATCTTGTATTGATCCAGAATGTGGAATAAATATATACTTTAGCATTAAAAATTGAAAGTGAATATAAGGAAGGTATAAAAGAGAAACAATAAAGATGATTTTCTTATATATTCTACATAATCTTTCTTATATTTTAAATATAGAAAAAAGAAAAAATTGTGCAAGTACAGAAATATTGCTAAACCAAACAGACCTTAAGGTGCATTTTCACATCAAGTTTCAATGCGTATTCGCTCGATTTTTTAACTGTCGAGCGCTACCGCCTCTTCACGCGGATTCAGCAGCATCGGGCGCGTTCTGTGACATAGCTGTATGGGGGCGCGATCAGTATTTTCCTACGGTGCGAATCCAAAATGTCAGACATCGATAAATGGATAGAAATTGCAAAAGAATGCAAATACTTGCCCGAGAATGATCTCAAGGTAAATAAAACATGCGGGCTGCGTGTGCTGATCGATCCGTTTTACGCGTAGCAATAACCGCGCAATCAAAACCGATTAGGTTACTCGCCCGTATCTCTTCTGTGTTCGTCCTCCTCGACATAATTATGTTAATTTCTATCGTTGTCGACAGAAATTGTGTGACATGGTATGTGATCTGTTACTGGAAGAGTCCAATATTCAACCTGTGTCCACTCCGGTGACAGTGTGCGGCGATATCCATGGTCAAGTGAGTATCCCGGATGTGCGTCTTAACCTCAACTTTAGAACATTATTCTTATCATTAATTACAAGGTCGTTGTCAATTTTTAGATTAAAATCTTCGAGATATATCCAGTATTATCGTTCACTGTTATCATTCGTTGCTTTATACAATCTCACTTTGTATAATAACTCTGTATATTTATATTGTATAGTCATAGTGTGAGTATATATCTTAGATCATTTTTTCACACTGTTGCAGTTTTACGATTTAGAAGAACTATTTCGCAACGGCGGTCCTGTGCCGGATACGAATTACATATTCTTGGGAGATTTTGTTGATCGGGGTTACTATAGTTTAGAAACATTCACTCGTCTACTCACACTCAAAGCTAAGTGGTCCGACAGGATAACGCTACTTCGCGGAAATCACGAATCTAGACAAATCACACATGTTTATGGATTTTATGGTAAGCACACGGGAGTATTTTCTGTGATAGCTTACTATATTGTTTGCACACATACCAAATTTAGACTCTATTGGTCTTTTTTATTTTCTGTTGTAGATGAATGCCAAAACAAGTATGGTAATGCTAATGCATGGAAGTACTGTTGTAGGGTATTTGACTTGCTCACAGTTGCTGCCGTGAGTATTTATGTTATATAAAAGATTTTTTGAAAACTAAAATTTTGCATTGTTATATTCAAATGAAATATTCTGTTTCAGTTAATTGATGAACAGGTTCTTTGTGTACATGGTGGATTATCCCCAGCTATTAGAACACTAGATCAAATTAGAACGATTGAAAGGAATCAAGAGATTCCTCACAAAGGTATAATAGTGAAATATATCAATAATATATTCTACTGTGTTAAATATTGCATAGTCGAGTGAATTATTTTTACATAATAATATTGAATATTTTGGCTTAATTACAAAATTACAGGTGCTTTCTGTGATTTGGTCTGGTCTGATCCAGAGGATGTAGAAACATGGACAGTGAGTCCACGTGGTGCAGGCTGGTTGTTTGGCAGTAAAGTGACTTACATGTTTATGGAAGTAAATGATCTTAAACTCATCTGTAGGGCGCACCAACTAGTTCAGGAAGGTATATATTTGGTTACAAATATTGTAACATTTTAATTTCCATCACAAGTTTTTTTTAGATATCTCTAGTGTTTAACGTATCCAACAAAAATATGAGAATGCATGATTTTTTTTATCTTGTAGGTTATAGGTACATGTTTAATGACAAACTCGTCACAGTGTGGTCAGCTCCAAATTATTGTTATCGATGCGGTAACATAGCTAGTATCATGCAGTTTACAACAGTGGATCAGAGGACACCCGTGCTGTTCCAGGCAGTGCCTGATTCCGAGAGAGTAATCCCACCTCTTACACCCACTCCGTACTTTTTGTGATCTAACTTAGTGGCTCATCTGTACGGATGTAGGAGAGAAGTGTCTGTGTCTAGACTCTACGGAATCACATGACTCGATTAACTGGACCCAGGCTGGTACCATGACGGAACCATAAATTCGCATGAATATATCACCAACCGATTATACATATTGCTCTAGAATTTTAATTCTCTTCAAAAAAAGGAAAAAAAAAGAAAATTGTTTGATGCGTTCTATGTGATCGAAATGCGATACTTAGAGGACTGAATTGTCATGTGATTACTCTTGTTCAGGGAATGTTCTTTAGATTTTTTAAGAACTTTATCAGGTTTTACATGTTGTAAAGCTAACTTTTATATATATACATAGTATCTGCCATTGCATCAGCCTGATTTTTTGTAGTTCGAGGAAAGAAAAAAAAACGATATTTTGAATCAGAGCAAATGTAAACATTCTGTGGTCTAGACGCTTTTGCTGTCTACTGTGTACATTCTGTAGAGCATTCATATCTCAGAGCAGCATCCTGGACTTTCAATATTTAAAGGGCTAAGAGCTTTTAAATAATTTATGAATGCAAATATCACAAATAGTCCAGTGCTGTGTGTGAAACGATTAAATAAAAAAGGAAAAAAAAAAATAGAAATATCATATTCAAACATTCCGGCAAACTACACTCTCTGAGTACAGTGAATGCTTCTCTGATATTACAATCGTTGTGCATAGAATTCAGGTTTATTAAAGCGTGAGCATATATAGTACTGTTAAGGTCTTCCTGAACGTGTAAATGATCTGTTTCTGGTTTAGGTACTGTGTGTGCTGCGTGCAGTTCTTCTTTCTTTTAGACGCGCAATCAGTGTTCTTAGCAGCAATCATAAATTCGGCACTTTTTTGCCGAAGTACAAATAGCGTGTAGCGGTAGCCAAAGTTTTTCTGCCTAGATAAGGAAATCCGATAGTGGGATCGTTATGCTACCTATAGAGTTTCTCTTATTTTTATGCACATGACATTTTTTACGCTTAATTTTAAGAAGTTTGGAACACAATTTATTGTCTCTAAAGCATCTTGATACACATCGATATTATTTCTTAAAAAAACGGTCATTGTTTGTTCGCCGCATCCCCCACCCCCCTCCCCCTCTTTTTCCTATCATCATCCTAACGTTCTTATCCGAACAACGACAGGAATAACTTCCGCTGCACCCTCAGCCGCGACGCTCCCGAATGTACGACACTGCGGATGCGTGAGAAATGTAATAACGTTATC